GGTTAGTTTGTCTTGAAATTCAAATTTTCAGCACGAAATTGTTTGTGTGAATCTCAAAAACCAAGAAATTTCTAGAATTCAAAATCAAGCGACCGAAACTATATGAGTTATATACCAATAGCTGCTTAGCGGAGTTTAGCGATTGCATTTCTATCTAATAAGTGTAACTCATCTAAAAGTTTTTGCCAAAAACTTTTCACCGTTAAATAGGGCATTATTTATAGTATATATGTCATCATTCAAAATATAAAAATTCGAAGCCGCGATTTTTCACCAAAACGCCGCCTAAATGTCCACTGTGCAACTGTTGATTACAGAGTTAGGTTTTTATAAAATCGGAATGAGGTAGTATTAATAGTAACTCATGTTGTAGAATCTCTACGTGCAATTTTGGAATCTAGGTACTCCGGGAAGCAGCACAACTACAAGCGTTTGCTCAGCAAGCAACTCTCTGGCAAATGTGTTACTCTCACATTTCACTAATGTAGGCACCACCAATTTTAGTACTCGGACTCTGGGAAATTATGATGGTCAACGAACTAGTTATTCGGCGGAAACTCTACAGAATTATAACATAACTCCCGGTAGCTATTTTATTCACAGTGGGTTTCAGTTCACTTGGCCCAACGTCCCCGCTGGACAGCCAAATAACGTTGAAACAATGGGTCAATCAATTGCGTGCAATGGCATAAGTGCTTCGGCCTTGGGTATTATTGGAAGCGCTGAACAAGGAGCATCATTTGGTCCACTCGTCATCCAATACACTGATGGTACCAATCAATCAAATAATCTGTCATTTACGGATTGGACAAACTCGAATCCGCCAGCAGGTACACAAGATATAGTCTCGTCAGGAGTGCGCTATGAGTGCCCGGGTGGCACGTGCACGAATTCAACCGTCGTTGTTTGCCTATTTCTGGTAACATTCACATTGGATTCATCACGATCACTTCAGGCAATAACACTACCGAATAATACTCATTTGCACATATTTGCATTGGGAACACCTTGTAATACGTTATCAACAACACCAACACCCACTACCACCGGTGAGACCAAGTTTTGTGTTTTAGTTTTTCGGCCTGGAATTCAGATTTTCCAACTATTTCTACCAAGCTCTTCTTAGTCTCAAAAACTGAAACACAGGACGCTTTTCGAATTCAAGAAAATCGGCGTTATGACCAAAATGCATCTGTGTTCTTTTCACTTTTCCAGCCTGCATTTTTTTCTTCAGTGGACAAAACGTACCACCATCCCCTAGATGTTTACATAATTAGATATTTCGAAATGTACCTCCGCTAGATATTCAGGTATTTACAGTGATGCAGGTTCACATTTTATAGCCTGGCTAGATATTCAGATATTTCGAAGTGTAGGGCTAATTTGGAATTCAGATTAGGCACATTTTCCAACTATTTCTGTCACGCTCTTCTTAGTCTCAAAAACTGAAACACAGAATGCTTTTTGAATTCAAGGAAATCTCATCTGCCGAAGGAATCAGCACAATATACATATATAGAAAATTGCAATACCATCCCAGAGTTGCTATTCAAAATGCGTTCTTTGCAAACTGTGCTTGTTCTTTTCAAGCAGTTCAAATGTGACTTTTCCGCATCTGAGTCTTTTCCAGCAGTGCTGAAAATTGACACTTAAAGTGATCCTCAATTCGGCACTTTGAACTGTTTCTAAAGTTCAAAGAAGACGGCCAAAAAGTCGAATTTTGAGGAAATCTGAGCGTGTCGGTTGAACTTGATGTCTTAGAAGCACAAAACCTTCAGACAATGTCGATAAATTGACTTTCGAGATAGAAAGACTTCTTAAAAATAATCGGAATCGCTCGGTTTTGTCTCCACAATGGACACATTTCATTCTCTCAGAATAGACAACTTTCTAATCCTCATTCGGAATACACTATATGATCTCTCAATATGCTTATTTCTTAGGATAAAAACGGAAGACCCAAGTTCTTCATTCTGACAACCCTTTACTCTTCACGGATGCCACAAGTCTTTTGTTCTTTTTTGTGATATCCTGCACTTTAGTAAAAATAAAATCTTATCTTATCTTATCTTATCTTATCTTATCTTGTGTATAGTTATTTGTAAATCTTGATTTGACATGCTGTTTTTTACAGGATTAGTAAGAACCTGGCTAGAATTATGAATACCTTTTAAGAATATTTGGTTATTAAACACCGACGTTTCGGAAGGATAAAATCCTTGTTAAGACAAAGATAGAATAAATGTAACTTAAACTAACATCAAAAATAATGGAGGCCTCTCAATATCTACAATGAAAATCACATCTACAAACCGAAGTTCAATACGTAAACATGAAATTGTAATCAGAACCTAAGATGCATGATCACACAAGATGATTTACTGGTGGTCTATTTCTTAAGCTGTCTGTGGCAGAAGATATGGATCATGTCTTAGTATTGCCCCTCTCAAATCATTTTCGGTATCTGTTTGAACCCATTTTCTCATTACTGGTACACATTGATCTACTGTAGCCATTTTACTACTATTACCTTTGTTGACCAGCGTATAAACAGATGACGCTCTGATTTTCTCAAAATTCGAATTTTCGGCAGAAGTGCGGAGCGGCTTGTACTCCGTCTCTTATATCATTCGTTCGATGGGGCTCTGATGAGGAGGGTCTTTTAATGTGCTAATACCTATAACGCATATAAAGGGTCCAAAATATTTTTCGGTATTATCTTTTAAATAAGAGGTTATCTGCTCAAAATAAGAGACTGTTCAGGCCTAAAAGCATGTAATGATGTTTTATAATATATTATTTTTAAGCAACAACAACACCTACATGTTTAACAATGGTTTCTTATCCACCTCCAGTAGCTGATGCCGTTGCGGCAGCAGGAAGTATGTTTATGCATTTTTCTTTGTGTGTTTGAATAAACATGGATGTAGTGTCAACTTCTTTGTAACCTTTTATCCAGTTGTAAAACAAAAAGTTGTGCACTACAGTCTATTTCTCTATCACAATTGTGGTAAGGAGTTGCTGTTACGTTGAATAATTAAACATATGACTTTAGCGTATGGAACAAACGTGGTGATAAACGGTGATGCTGAAACAGGTCCCTGTGCTTCAGCTTATGGTGCTAGTTCAACTCCCACAAGTTGGACACCCGCGGGAACAATAACACAAGCCGCATATACAAATTCGACTGCAAATTCTGATCAAACCTTCACAACGCCTGGTCCGAGGTAAGCATGTCATAAAACTTCGCTCCACAATTTCACAGTTCTCTTTATTGTAGTGAGCGGGGCAATTGTTATTTTTAGTTTAGTTTATTTTACAAAACGTGATGAGTACTCATAGCACAAGTTGTAAACATAGTTAGTACAAAATAGCTCGCAGAGAAGTTCTGCTGTGCACTCACATATACTGAAATAGATCAGAACAATGAGAAGCACAAACATAGAGTTAAAATGAGTTCGAACGATGGAGGATATGTTCGCATGTAGAACTTTAAAAATAACAATACAAGAAGAAAATCACATAGCAAATCACCCAAATTATTTTTCGTCCGGTTTCGAAGGAAACAGTATACATATTCTGGTCGGTTTTTGCACGTAGATTCCGAATCCGGCGTCTGTTTTTTGGTGTCTAGTCTAGTTTTCGAAAAATAGACGAAAAACTAGTTTTACGTGACTTTTACGTAACGCCTTTTATTACTTTCTCTCTTTTTTGTCGTTCTGAATATATATCTTTTTCTTTCCATTTTCTTTTTTTCTACTTTATCGCGTAAACGAACAGAAAGAGAAAAAGAATATCCATCTTAGCTTGTATCAAGCACTGCTGTTACTTCAGTTCAGTATACTTGTTCAAAATAGAGCAGATATAAAATATCAATTATATTAAATCCAAGAGAAAAAAGCAAGACTGATACTAAGAAACGCTACAATTACTTGTATAGAAATCATTTATATGCTCTCGCGGGGCACAAAAAGTAGATTGTTAACTCCTTTTCGTAGTAGGCAACGTCGTTACATCAGCAGCTTGAACAGAATCGCCTGATTTTTAGATGTCAAGACGCTAGCCTGGTCCAATTTACACAAACGCGTTTTAAAAGTGACTGATTCTTAGTAAGAATCAGGCAAATCATTTTTCGTCCGGTTTAGAAGAAAATAGTACACATATACTGTTCCGTTCTTGCACGTAGATTCCAAATCTGCGGTTCGTTTTCTGGTGCAAAGTCTACTTTTCGAGAGATGAGCGAAAAACTGGTTTTGCGTGGAAATTACTGCTTTTTCTCCACTTTCCCCATACTTTGTATTTGTGCCATTATGTGTGTGAAAACGATATGTTTTATTTTGATTTTAACCATATACACACGAAGTATAAATGTGCTTTTCCATGCTTGTTTCCCGATGATTTATGTAAATTATACTATTCATTTGCGACGACAATTTCTATCAGATATATTTGTATAAAGTTAGTTTAAATTAATTAACTATACAGTTTACAAAACTTGTTAATAACTTTTCTTATTTTATTTTCAAGCATTCAGTCGGCTAGAGGCCAAAAGAGATAATAAACTGAGTAAACCCAAAAGAGATAATAAGTTATATTCCTAAAAGAGATAATAAAACGAAAAATGTGAAATTCTTGTAATCCCTAAAGAGATAATAAATTTAATTAGTAATCAAGAACGAAAAAAGAATATAGAATGAAAAAACAAACGAAACTTATGGGTAAACTTATATATTTTATTCTTCATGAAATCAAATCAATCAGAATCAGTATCGTTGTTTAATTTTTCATGTTCATGTAAAGAACAGTAAGCTTTTCTTCGTGTTGAACGTTTATAACTTTCAATATCTTTTGTTATTTCATATCGTTGTTTAGCTGCAATAAGCTGTTCTTCATGAATTCTACCAGATTTTGCTATTTTTTTTGAAGGTAAGCCTTGAAAAAGTTCTTGTTCACGATTATAACGTGCATCTTTTTTGTATATTTTTATAATTTATATATTTAGTTCCATATTTATATAATTGTCGTTTGTACACTGTTTTATTTGCTTTTGTACACTACTTCATTCGATTTCGCACACTGTACGTAATGATTCTGATTGATTTGATTTCATGAAGAATAAAATATATACCCATAAGTTTCGTTTGTTTTTTCATTCTATATTCGTTTTTCGTTCTTGATTATTAATTAAATTTATTATCTCTTTTGAGATTACAAGAATTTCACATTTTTCGTTTTATTATCTCTTTTAGGAATATAACTTATTATCTCTTTTGGGTTTACTCAGTTTATTATCTCTTTTGAAGCCAAGCGATTCAGTCAAATATAAAAAGTTTTATTCTCTACGCTTAATCGAAATATATAGTCCAGATAGTCGTAAAGAAATTTCGTTCAGCAAAGGAGAGTTGAAGACTATACGTCATAAAAAATTCCATAATTTTACATGATCAAAACTCTTCGCATTACTAAGGTCATCAACGACTACATCTTTTATTTAGTAATTCTTTGTATTGATTAGGAAGCATGTCAAAATTCGCCCTTATTTTTACGAAGTCGTAGAATGCGAATTGATATCAAGGACAAGAAATTTTGTGAGGATGGCTGTGAGTGTTTACACAACAAGACAAACGTGTTTCGCTGTGCTTCAGTTGACACCAATTCGTATTTTACGAATTCGTAAGAATAACGACGAATTGATATTAGAAGTATCGATTTTCAACCGCTGGATCAGCTCGTAATACGAATTCGCTAATTCGTATTTACGAATTAATCTGGTTCTAAGATCAGTGAACACTAATTCGTAAACTAATTTTACGAATTATTTGCGAATTGATCAGCATCGTGTCTGATCTATTCGGATGTTTACGAATTCGTGAGATGAATTCGAATAAAATGCGAATTGTGGCATCATTTTTACGCTTAAAAATTGCGATTCGTCAATTCGTCCTTAGTCACTTTGTCCACACATCTCTTCATGAGTGCCTCTGTTTTCTTTCCAAACGAACGTACAGGTGCCTATTCTTCAAATCTGATAATTTTAACTTCTTTACTAAACCGCGACTTCCAGTTTGGTAACTAAAGTTCCTAGTAATAATTCTGGTAGCTAACGGCTGCACAGATTCCAGTGGCTCTGTATGGGTAATGAAATCTGAGTCGTAGATTGCAGAGCAGTAGTCAAGTTTAGGAATTACACAAGACTTGTAAAGAACTGAAGTGAAACAGGCGTATCACGGAAAACGCGATTTATGGCGCCTAGCATACGTCTGCAAGAAAGAGCTGTTTCACTGATATGAATGGACAATTTCAGGTCCTGAGATAGACGGATGCCGAGAAGCTTTGATGTTGGTTCATGTTTATCTTCTCTTTATTGTAGTGATCGGGGCAACTGTTATTTTTATGCCGGAGTAAGTGCGAATACCAGCATGTCACAAATTATTGATTTAACTTCGTACAGCTCAGCAATCGATAATAATATGGTGACATATAATTTATCAGCTTGGTTAGGTGGCATTCTTGCACAAGATGATTCTGCAGCTGTCTCATTTACATTTCTTGATAAGTGCTATGGTCTTCTGGGAACAAGTGGAACAATCGGTCCCGTAAAAGCTGTTGATCGTTCGAGTCTAACAGAATTGCTGTATCGTTCAACAAGTGGTTCAGTATTACCCAATACCCGTTATGTCAATATTCAAGTAGTAATAACAAGATTTTCAGGAAGTACCTCCAATGGAGACGTTGATGATATTTCGCTGGTATTTTTTAGTTGAAATGGGTTTTTAATAATAAAAGAGCAAACTACTTGTTGGACACTGTATATGGTAGCTAGAACACGATGTTGTTTTGATAATACTGTTGTTGTTAGTGCTGTTGTTATTAACTGACATTTTTAAATAACATACTTTCTTTAGTCTGCTTATACGTTGAAAATCCATAAAATTTAGTGAGAAAGTTCCTGGAAACTCGAGTGTAACATGGATGGTTTACAGTTTTCTGGATCCTGGAAAATACGATGTGGACTTCAAAATAGACATTTCCTAAAGTTCTCATCGCTGGGAATGATATGCCGACTGAATAATGATAGTCTTTTGGTCAAAATAGGTTTTAACAAATTCAGATTCAGATTTTTTGAAAATGTTTTCGCGTATATGTAGGCTCTTAAAAAGGCCATCAAGGTTAGTAGGACTGTAGATTTTTACGGATAACAGTGAAGACAAATTGGGAAACACATATATATCAGAGATGGGAGTTTTGTTTAAGCTGCCTAAAAATAAGTTACTAGGAAACAGAAACTGAAACTATATTTCTTCACTTAATAGGTTTGACTGGCATCGTCTGATTTTAACAAATTGTGTAGATATCCCAACAGAATTCTTACTCGGCTTTTATTATTCAACAAAGTATATTCCCCACCAGAGTTAATACGTTTGCAAAGCTAAAGGACATTTCAGGAAAGGTCGCCTTTCCAGAGAAGTTCTGAGAGGAATAACCTTTTCTTTAAGGCTATGAGTTGATGCCGCATGTATTTGTGAGAAAAAAGGTCATTGTTACAGCTCTCAGCCTTCATAGCTTCGTGAAGATATGTTCTTTTCTTTCCTTTCTCTTCCTAATGATATTGTCTTTTTGGTTTAGTTCCTTTTATCATACATACGATCAAACATATACCATACAGATATATAACTGTTCTTTTCTGGTCATTATAATCATTCACCGTTTTGTTTAGTTGGTAGAGATATCATTGCTATCATTCAGCAGTTCTTATTTTTCCCTTCGTTGTTTTATTTCTTTTGAATAATTCGGGTTGATTTATATTCAGCTCTCACGCTATCCCGTAATATCTGGTGCCGTGACTGAAATTTTATTATATTCTCTTATAATAAAATCGAACCAGACAGTTCATATATATAAAAAAAATAAAAAAGGATGATTTCAGTCACAAGAGCCAGCAATGATGGTTTGTTATACAGAAAGCTTACAAGATCTAAGAAGAATTACCGGATTGGAGCGAAAGACGAAGTTCTATTTTGCATGTGTACCGCAAAATTAAATGGAGAAGCATAACGTTGGTATGCAGCTAATACTTTATTAACCGAATGGAACGATTTGAACCCACAGAATCATTATCAAAAATATTTGAAAAATTGAAAGAACGAAAACAACAATCAGGTGGAACAGTCATGTCATTTTACGACGTTATTATTAAATTATGTCGTGAATATGACCCATCAATGTCTCAAAGAATGATGATATCGTGGCTAGAAAATGACGCCAAAGATTCATTAAAAATTCAGATAAAACGCCAAATGAAAGTACTCACGAAA